CTCATTAGGAAAAAAAAATTGACTGCACGTTTGAATTGCAAGAGGTGTGTTCAAGTGTCCTTGACGCGAAAATGTACACCGCCGTGTTTTACATACTTTATTAATGCCGAACCACCTGTCTCTCTTAATCAATCTCAATATCTTGGTACTTTGATCACTTCTAATTTGACCTAAATCGCTCATGCGACCTTCGTCGCCCAGAAAGCTCTGCATAAACTTGGTGTTTGAAACGCAGCCTTTACCACTCACTGTACTACGGAGACAGTGTTATCGGCTTATAGAACTATAATTAGACCTACTTTGGAATATGCATATATTGCATGGGATCCTCACGCAGAATTGTTTTCAAAAGTTGTCGAGGTAGTGAAAAAAAAAAAAAAAAAAGCATTGCGGTCGGCGTACAGTCGCTAAAGTTCTATATCCTCAATTTCTGAACTTTATGTCCTGTCAAGACTGCGTGATTTAGCAACACGACGACAAATAGATCATTTTAAGTTTCTTAGTATATTTAGTGGTAATTTGCGACTGTATTTGAACCATTATTTGACAATTAAGAAAGGTAGGTTCACAAGAAACCTACAGAATCTAACTTCATTGAATCGTGGTGCAGAAATTTGTTTCAAGCATCCCTCATTCCTAACACAATAAGCGCGAATGGAACAAACTGCCTAAAAGTGTTGTCAGTTCAGTATCACTAACTTTTTTTTTTCGACGCGCTATAATTAAGCACTTCCTTGTCGAGTAGTTGCCTGCATTGCATTGCTATGATTTTTTTAAAGCAAGAAATACTTTGTAATGGGACCCCCAATTCCAAATTTTGTCCGTCCGTCCGTCCACTCGTGCGCTAAACTTAGCGGGGAAAATGAATTGGTGTTTAGGTCATCTGACGTCAGTTGATGTCACGTGAACTGGCGTCATGTGGCCTAAACACCAATTCAGTTTTCCCGCAAGATTTAGAGGTAAAATTGACGTAACGTGTCATGACGTCATGAAACCTATATGCCACATCACTTTCCCCGCTAAATTTAGCGGGACATTCGATGTCACGTGAACTGTCACGAAACCTATACACCAATATAGTTTAGCGGAAATATTGAGGTCACGTGACTTGCTTTCACATAACCTATGTACCAACTCAGTTTCCTCGCTAAGTTTTACGGGAAAATCGATGTCACGACACCAACACACTTTCAGTTTGCCCGCTAAATGTAGCACGAAAATAGACCTCACGTGTCCTGAAATCACGTGACGTACACATCGATACACTTTCCCACTACATCCAGAAGGGACATTGATGTAACGTGACTTATACACCAATTAAGCTTTTGCATTCAATTTAACGGGGAAATTGACGTCACGTGACCTAGGCACCGAGCTTCCCTGTTCAATGTAGCGGGTAAACTCCACAGAGAAAGGGGTTCTTCAGTACCCGAAAGCGCAGTTTGATTTCTTTTCAACAATTTTAAACTATCAGACCTTAGACACCGCATTTCACGCTTCATAGGACTTTGGAGATAATGGTCGCGGCCAATATTTGTCGCGTGTGTTTGCCGCCTTGGTTTATATAAGACGCTGGCCCCGCAGACATATCAAGAAATAAATATGCTGACAGCGGTTCACAGGAGCCTTCAGTGGACATACCCCTTTCACGTTTATTCAGCTACACTCTTAGAAATGCCTGCGCGTCTACTTACCCTCAAAAGCTTCGAAGAGCCAATCTCTGCGATCAACGAAATCAGCTCAGCGAATGGTGAGGCAGAACGTCCGTTCATACCTAAAAATAAAGTCTGCGATGCGGCATTACGCAATGCAAGCACGACGTTCTGCATTGCGTAATGACACAGCGCAGACTTCATTTTTAGGTCCAAACGGATGTTCCGCCTCATCATTCGCTGAGCTGATTTCGTAGATCGCAGAGATTGGCTCTTTGAGTGTTTTGCGGGTCTGTAGACGAACAGGCATTTCTTAGAGTATACGTTCTTTAATTTATGTGGAAATTTTAAGTACAATGATTTACCAAACTTTTTCTTCATACAGCTCTGGCGGCCAGTGTGCTTTTAGTTGAAAACCAATAGCGTGTATTTCGCTTTAACGATTCGTACATCAATTTTTGAAAGGTGTACATTATATAAAATACATATGATAATATGAAACAGAAACTAAATATCGATTGCCGTCTTCCTTCAAACGGGCCAACGGCCGCTTCCAGTCAACCTCCTATGTTCGTTTTTTTTTTTTTTTTCACATTCTTTTTTACTTTTACCCTTTTTCTATACAACCACTCGATTTTCCACCCTTCGAACGAGAAAGCTGGCGGGGTCGTGGTCTTCTTCTTATTAGTTTTCGAGAAGAGGTAACTAATTTGATTTTTTCTTTAGTAACCGAAAAGAGATTGTTATAGTTCGCTTGTAAGCTTCTTCAGGAATTGCAGACCACGAGAAAATCTTCTGAACGCCGACGCTGCAAAAAAAAAAAAGGACTTTTCGGGGTTCATTAATATACTTGATCCGAGCCAAAGATTCTTGACTCCTGCAGAAATATATTTCATTTAAAGGAATTCCTACGAAAACAGTGCGTCGCGCAGGCGAGGGATGACAGACGAGATTAAGAAACTTTTTGAATCGTAAGGTTTGTACATATACATTGATGTTAAATGTCCTCATGACCACTAGGCCAGAAACTTATAAGCTAATTAATCAAGAGTGAGATTTTAAAAAAAATAAAATACTACGAAAGCTTTTTTTTTTTTAATGTCTTTATAACGCGTGGGTGGACAGCGCTCGACACATTTGTTTCGCGACCTTTGATGTAGGTGCGGTGCACAACATTGTCGAAAAAAACTTAATAGAGTTATTGTAGGTTTAAAACTATTGACTTAGTGTGGTAAGAGCGGGAAAAGAAAATAGAAATGTTACTTAACCAAGGCGGCCTGCCTCGGTTGGCTATTATGAGTTGGGGAAGGGGGTCGGGGAGATTAAAAATGGAGAAGCGACCGAGCTGTATAAAAGTCAAAAAGAAAACAGGAAACAGCAAAAACACCAAAAGCAACAAAAAAGCCTTTAGGCCAAGCAACGTCGTAAACAACACAAGGTGGCGACGAGCTTATTAGCTGCGCAAACGTGACTCTAATAGCGTTGCAAATATGGTCATCAGATAACGCGCTAAACATCATTGCGAGGAAAACGAAGGCAATCATCTTTTGGGCCTAAAGAATGTTTCTACAACCAAGACACTTGTTTTAAATGCAAAGTATATAGATATTTTAGATAAATTTAAGAGCTTAGGTGTAGTTTTCAATGAGTACTTATCTTGGGATAATCATGTAAATGATTTACGCACTAGATTGTCAAAGGTCATTGGACTAGTCTCTCGTAACCGTTTTATTCTACCAAGAAATGTTAGGTTTCTTTTATACCAAACTATTTTTTTCTCACCTGAACAATTGTTTTCTAGTTTGGGGCACAACCACCCACACAAATTTGCAAAAAATACTCCTATTGCACAAAAAAAAATTGTACGTCTTGTTGAGAATGCTTCTTACGACTCTAGCACCCAGGGACAGTTCATAAAAAAATAGTATACTTCCTGTTTACAAAATGAACAAATACAGACTCGCGATCAGTTTTAAGTTAGAAAATAAAAGAAATGAGGATAGTTTAGTAAACCTTGCGGAGCTAAAAGAACATGCAACTTCCTACCCAACTCGGCCGGCGGAACATTGGACTGTGCAATTGTGTCATAACAACTATTCAATGCAATCACTCAAATACACAATTCCTACTATATTGAACACCCTAATAAAAAATAACATTTTTTTCATAATTTCTATTGCAATTCAGGAATTACGAACTAAACTAATGTGGGGCGAAAAGAAATGAATCAATTTATGAGACCTGTTTGATTTTTGTATTTTACTGTCTACTGTCGGTTTTCCCAGTGTTGTTCGCTGCTGCTTTGTTTTGACTTCTGTATATGCCACTAGAAGGGAGCAAGGGGCTCCGTCAAGCTGTTCTCGCAGCTTTATTTTCTTGTTTTTCTTTATTTATGTATCGAAATGAAAAATAAAGTTCTTTAATAATAATTAATAACAATAAAAAAAGAATATGCCGAAATTGACGCAAAAAAGCAGAAAGCTATAAAATAGGTTGCCATTTTAGGCTACCGACAGTCGGCCAACGGTATTTCTTCGATCATTTTCGATGTGTTTATACCACATTTCTACCTTTTTCATCTTTTTTACAGCTTCCAGGTTTGTTTTTACTGCAAAGTGGTGCTTAGCAGAACGTTTTCTAGACATTTCATACTGTTCCTCGTTTAGCCTTTGCCTCAAAATTTTCTAGTGCTGTGGCCAAGCAGCTAAAGCGGTTTTCAAAGGGATAGCGCATCTCCACCCAACGGTGGAGAGGGTGCGCTAGGTCTTATAAAGCGCCCTATGTATTCCATTAATTTAGCAAGCGCCAACGTGGCATATGGTAAAATGATCTTGAGGAAAAGGTGGCAGAGCAACCCGAGAAATCCGGCGAGTCGCCGGCACCCATTTCACACCAATAGGAGCGCTCACGCGTAGCGTAAGCATAATCATATGCATAAGCACAAGCATTAACGAACATCGTACGCCTGTTCAACCGATTCATAACTCCTCCACTTCAGAAAAAAAATGTTTAACGTGTGCTCGAAACAGTTCTGGAGTTCGAGCTCGTCAGATCGGCAAGCGAAGAGAACGCGTCAAATGTCAAATCGAATAATCCATCAACACATCTAATATGACAACTACCAAACCATATTTTGAAATTTTTCAGCACACATCACAACACTAAATTCCAGCAATCACCCTAAAAATCATCCCTAAGATTTAAATAAAATTGACAAGGAATGCTTAACAAATCAATTTGACGCAAAAATCTAGTAAAAGAAACCATCAGGCTCTACCCTCGTGCACCACATATAAACCCAAGAGGTGTTGTCAACGCATCCGTTTACTACGATGAATCTGTGCTCGCCTTAAGTTCAACTTCTCCTCGAAGCTCGAGGTGAAAAGTCTTGAAAGTGTCCAGGACTTGCTTGGTCGCAGAGCTGACGTGAATCTTCAATGCTAGTGGATAAGAGAAAAGAGAGAGAGAGAGAAGAAAAAGAAACAATCAGCTATGAGTTTGAGCACACGTTAGTTCACTGCAAGTGTCTGCCAGAGTAAAGAGGCATTCCAACATTTTAACTAATAATTGGGGTCACTGAAAGGGCGAGAACGGCACGGAGGTCTTTCAGTTGATTCGCCCCAAGCGCAAGCTTCCCACTTTAGATAATGCTTCGGCGCATCGTGACTTTCGAGCATCCACTCACAGCCAAAGCACGACAGAAAACAACCGGAGCGTGTTGGAGGCTGGTTAGCTAAAAGAGAAGACCTGCCCTTCTCATTCTCTTAGTGACTAAGGGGAAACATTATAATAAATCGTTCGCAAAAAAAAAAAGACACACTCACACACACATTGGAAATTAGTTTTATACAATTTTCAGTTAAGTAGGCGGTGCAACGATATTCAGTTGGAATGTTTTTAATCGTACATAATCTTACTGGTACTAGTGGCACCCAAGGGTACTCGTACGCAATGCCACTGACCAAGACACTTCTTTGTTGGGGTGTAAAGTTAAAAAATAAAAACAAAGGTTTTTTTTTTTTTTTTTTTTGTCAATCTCTCTTTTGAAAAACTTGATGACGTAGTCCGAGATCTTGGGGTTGCTATAGACCCCGAGTGACGATTTTTGAATGCGGCTCATAGACTGAACCCGAGCATTGCGTGAGCACTCATTTTTTTTGCTCGTGATAATTAGTTGCTCCAGAAGCATTCGGGTAGTAAGCTCGTGTCCAGACGTTCAATGACGACAACGGCCGAACACCGACAATGTCTAGAACTCAGCTCGTGCCCCGTGCTTTGCAAACCCAAGTGTGTGGATGTGGTAAACATGGGCGAAACTATGATATCGCTTACACCAAGGTGGAGAATGGAAATGATGAGGATTTAAATCGTAATTTCATTCATAAGTTAAATCATTATTTAAATCAAACCAGTCGTACATACATAACGACCCATTGCCACAAAATACGAACGATAAATAAAGGAACAAAACTAGAAAAGTAATGTCCTATTGCAATCAGGTCAGAAGCTGAAAAAAAAAATAATTAAAAACAGTCTAACTACGAACAAGCAAAAAAAAAAAGAAAAAAGAAAGAAATCAAGCTGTTTTTGTTTAGTTGGGCGGGGACTAGAGCGATGAAACTGTGTTAATTAACTTGTACTTTATATTTACATTAATGCTTTCTTCCGCATTGTAATCAGTGATCGAACGAATTCATCAATCGAACTACCATGTTAAAAGACACCTCTATTGGTAAATAATCGCTATTTTCTAACTTGAGTGATTTAAATCAAATTAATATGAATTAAATAAAATAAATATGATTTATTTTATATTTAAAAAGATCGTTATTTTTTTCCGCCCTGGTTTACATGGATGGTACAGTAGCCTATCAAATCAAGATTTGACTATTTTGATTGGTAGATGGGTCGTAGACAAAGAGGTATGGTGACAGGGTGCTTGCGATTGGTCCCTGCTCGATTCGACGCACTACAGCCACATTCATTTAAACCCACCCATAATCGGCTCCAGATAACGTGGCCACATTTTATCTGGCTGCGAGTTGAGGAAGCGAACGCCACTCGTTTTTTTTCGAATTTTTTTTTAGACTGAAGTTCCGTGGGGAGGAAAACTAACGCGTATTCTATAAGTTATAAGCGTAAGGGATTCATTAAAAGCTGTATTCGGGTGAACTACAAAGCAACGTTGCACTACCCATTTTAACGCGGAGCGCAACGGCGGTATTGCATGCTATCATCCTGCACAGCAGAGTCAATTATTCAACTCGCCGTAATTCCTGTCATACAGCGGTAATCATAAGTTAATCCACTGCAACCGACCGCAGCGAACGCCACGAGCCATTGCAGCCAATCCAGCAGATCTGAACGTACACCACGCGACCCCGCGCTTCGCTGCGTCCATCCCGAAGGTACCGTAAGGTGAAACGGACTCAGCATCGGCAACTTCGTTCTTTTGACGGAAAAGATTGGGCGAGAACCTCTGAAAAACATTGTGCACCGCAACTGATGTGCACAACCGTGCCTTTGTTTTCACTGCAGACATTTGTGAGATGGGGCACACGCTTTGATGCAGCTGTGCATGGGCGCCGCCATAACCCACCTTCCGTTTTTTTTCCTTCTCTCTTCTATTCCGTTTACTTCATTTCATCATTACCACAGCAAGAGAGGTTACTGCTATTTTAGATTATAGATTTTCCTTTTACCTTATTCAAGGTGTCAAAAAAAAATTACAGGGTTTTTTCACCAAAAAAATAAACTAGGCGTCGCCGAATACTCATTCTCCGCCCAAAGGTAGCGCTAGAGGTCACAACCAGATGCCAAAGTTTCAGCATGATCCGATACCTTATTCAAAAGTTATGCGTGATTTTCTGAAACTTTCAATGGGAAAATAGAGCCCATTTTTGCCAGTTTTCGGTTTCTGCTGCCATAGAGCCCCATGTAATCGAAAACTTCGTCGGCCACCATTTTCCCATTCAAGTTTTCAGAAAATCACTTATAACTTTTGAATAAGGTATCGGACCGGGCTGAAACTTTGGCATCTGGTTGTGACCTCCAGCGCTACCTTTGAGCAGAGAATGAGCATTCGGCGATGCCTAGTTTATTTTTCTGGCAAAAAAAAAAAAAAACCCTGTAATTTTTTGTGACACCTTGTATAAGGTAGAAGGAAAATCTATAATCTATAATCTAATCTATAATCTTGGGCTACCTTTGAGCGGAGAATGAGCGTTAGACGATGCCTAGTTTATTTTTGCGGCAAAAAAGACCTTGCATTTTTTTTTGTGACAGCCTGTATATGCCTTTGTAGAGTCTCGTCAACGCCTGATTCAGTGGCACTGCATCTCGGTAAGACGAGGGAAGGTCAGCAATGGCGGCTGTGACCTGGCGCGTGCGCAAAGCGTCTATTATACTTCATCTCACAAGTGTGTGCAGCAAAGTCAAAAGTACAGGCGCGTGAGCGTAGCTGACCAGAATGTTTTTGGTCTAACGAGAACTCTTGCATAGGAGGCACTTTACAATGTGCCTCCTATAGCATTCCAGGCAAGTGGCTGCCGCAAGTCCATCCTCACTTTGATTATCCAAATCCGATTTTCCGCGCGGAAAGAGGTTGAACAGGCTTGAAACCTAAATAAAACGAAGTGCATTCGTGTACCTTCGGAGCGGCATGTAAGGTTTGCTATGGAAAAGATTGTCGTAAGCAAAAATTTACGAAAACAACATTCAAGGCTTACGTCTGCCGAGCGAGCGGAATTGGGTGAGATATTACGCACGTACTTTCTCCCCACGGAGCTGGTTACGTGACTTCGAAATTCCTCTTGCGGCTTTGTTAACCTCCCAAAAGAGATACCCGCATTCTCCAAAAAACTGGCCCAGGTGTTTTTTTATGTTCTTCGGCATTGTGGTCGTCAAGAAGGGCTTGCCAAGATTCCACGCCTTATATGATGCAAATAAGGCTGGTGAAGGCAATTAACATAAAATTGGTAGAACAATATGGTATACTTGCCCATGCCGGTAGATTCCATTCTAGATGCCGTATTGACCGTGTCCCCAAAAAGGCAATACCGAGGCATCTTGAGACCGACCACACCGGCGACGCAGGGACCTGGAAGAATTCAGAGACTTGGTTACATTTTCTGGACAGCAGCAATTTGAAGCTGGCGGAATTAGATGCTGAGCTTGATGAACCGACCATACTTTAGAGACACAACTTAGGGCTTAGAGATCAATGCCATTAAATTGTGTATCTTGTAAAAAATAATGCTAATCTGTTGAGTATTTAGTCAAGAGCTCTGTCACATTCGTGACACCAGCACGCTTTGTGAAATGGGTGTTGGCAACGTGACGTCCAAGGAGAGAGGTAAACCCTTTTGCGTGGTTGTGCATTCTCCCAAGCGCTACGGGACATTTAGTGCACAATCATTGCGTTGTATTAACGTAAGCACATAGGGATAAAGAAAAGTACGTGCAGGAGGGCTTACATTGACCAGTAAAAATAAAACAAATGTATAAAGAATTTCTAAAGAAACCAAAAAGACGTTAAGAGGGTTCAGAAGAGCTGCCGCGCTTAACGGGAAGGTTACTGTCATAAAACGCGCTGATTTCTAACTGAGCTTGTATCGCCAGCAGCGTAAAAATGTTTGGCAGAAAAAGAACAGACTTCGTATGAGATACAACATTTAAATATTGTAATACAAGAGGGTCCTGACCAATCATTACGTCTAATAATTAGCCACACTTTTACAAAGGATTGCCGATGGAACACCCTTAAGCGCGAGGCACATGGACGACAGAATCGTCCGATCCGACGTCCGATCCGACAGTCCGAACGCAGCTCCGAATTGCCGCACGCAACAATTTGAGACACACGCTTCCGACCTTGCTTGCGACACGACGATCCGTTCGGCTCTTGCCAGGAGATCCAAGCACTCCAGCGCAGGTTCGCGTTCACAGATCTCTGGTCCCAGATTGACGGTTTAGCTCACACGAGCGAAATTAGAAGCTCGTTCTCGTTAGCACGTGCATTCTTTGCCGGGGCCATCTTTCTCGAATGGGTCAGCGGGATCCACGCGTCCGGCTTCCCGGCGCCCGTCCCGTTTTCTTGTTCGTCCCGCCAGACTTAGTGCGTCATCATGACGTTCGCGCTAGCTGTGCTCTCATTGGCTGGACGCATCCGACAGTCCGTCCGCCGCGCAAAACTATCTGGCGCGTTGGACGCACGCCGGATCGCCGATCTGACGCCTGAAGCGACCAAATATTTCGGATCATGCAGTCATATTGCCGGATCGGACGTCGGATAGGATGGATTTTTTCGCGCATGTGTCTCGCGCTTTACTGATATCGTCCGACTTATTCAACGTTAGATTTCAAGTTCCCTTCAAAGTGATGCCCTGTTTACTGCCAATGCAATTTCTATTAAGAAGACAAATAAATAATGTAGGCATCTAAATTTTCAAATTTATTCGATAATTACGTCTCGTAGGTCTCGTAGTATTTTTTTTTTACGACTGGTGGTTGTTTTATGGCAACGAAGAAAACGTGTGTGCTGAGATTTCACGTCATTTATGATGCAAATAACGCCAATGAATGTACTGTTGCCGTCATTATCATTTTTTGTTACGGTATGTACAGCCTTCACGACACTGGGCTGGTCCGCTCGTGTCCGATTGTTCGGGGGCATACAGTAACAATCGCAGTATTGTCCTCCATTGCCACGAGTGGCGGTGATAAGGAAGACATAAATTATCCGCATAGAGCGGCCTCTTTTGTCTTTCTTTACGGGTTGCGACCAGCAAGGCAATGTATGTGACATCAGCATTGTGCAGGCCTAGAAGAGAATAGCAGTCTAGCGTTAAACCATCCGAAGTGTCAAAAGCTGTTATTTTGACCAGAACTAGGTCGAGAGACGTGTTTTTACGCGTCCGCACAGCATTGATTTTCGATATTCGTAAGAATAACAAAATGGGGTTTGTCTAGGAGCTTTTACTAAGGGACGCAAACTCTGTATAGTTATACTGCTGGTTTCTCATAGGCTGCGTTTATATACATGGATGGGACCGTAGATGTATCGAATCGAGATTAGACTATTTTGATTGGTACTAGACGAATAGAAGAGGAAGAAGTAGAAAAGAAACAGGCTGGATCCGATTGGTCGATACTCATTACGATGAGCTACGATGGCATTCGTATAAACACAGCAGTGGACAGTAATAAAAGCAGTGAAGGCCTTAGGACGAGGAACAATACACGCCCTGGAGCAGCTGTGCATAGGCTCCGCCATTACCGACCTCCCGTTTCTGATTCCTCTGATAGCGTTCACTTCACTTCGCCATTACAATAGCAGGGCAGGTTATTGCCATACTTTTTCCCATTGTGTCCTTCTCACCAGCATAGGCATTTGTGGAGGTTCGTCAACGCCAACTTCGGTGGCTCGGCATCTTGGTAAGACAACAGAAGGAGAGCGATGGCGTCTGTAAACTAGGGCGTGTGCAAAGCGTCTGTATCGTCATACTGCATTTCACTTTAAGGCCGACCGCGGCACGAACTGGTGAAACCAATCAAGCAGTGTCAAAGGCGTATCGTCATGGCGGCTCGTCGTCATTGTGCGTATGCTATATCACCATCTAAACCGGACTTGGACGGTGCACGAGTGCGGCGTGACCCTGCGCGTTTTCCTGACGGAGCTCAACACCCCGAATTAATTACCGTGATTCCTAGCAGGCGGCATCTTGGCCTTATCAAGCGGAGTACGCGCCGAAACAGACTATACTCGGGTGTAAAAATGTCCGTTTCATTTCCGGCAAGATCAAAGAGCGCGTATCCGCACACTTTCAGTCGGCGCTTAGGCCAGCATCATCTATACAGAAAACCGCAGTGATGAATTCATTTTCTACGTCAAATAAAGAACCCAGTGCGAGCTGTGGATTGAACGCGAGTGCTCCGTCAGCGTTCAGCAGGTAATCGTGTCCAATGCGTTAGAACACGAGCTCCAGCTGAGCGCTGTGGCAGCACTCGTGCTCGTCTCTTGTATAGGTGGCGTGGAGAATACTTGGGCCTTAGGTCCAGGGGGTCTTGCTCAAGCACGTGCTCCCATACCATCGGACAGCATATCAATGAAAGTCGCCCTCCGAGTACATGGAGGGTGCATACCGGTGTGCAGTCCAATACGCAGGCGCAGCTGCTCCTCCGGCCTGTGGTGGATGATGAAGGACCGCACGTTGGCCAGCAGGGCGAGGGACATGCGGGCGATCTCGCGCGCGTGTCGAGAGCCGTTGGGCACCGGCAGACCGGACACCACCATGTACGCGTCGCCCACGGTCTCCACCTGTCCGAAGAAATACCCGTGCTGAAAAACACTGTTTGTACGAAAAGAAAAAAAGTAGAGGGAGAGAAAAGAGAAGTGCCCCGAAATACCGGTTGTTTGAAAATAACGTTTAATGTCGGTTCACACATAGAGCGCAACGTCGAATCGGCGCTGGAAAAATGCGCTGAAGCAGCTCTGACTTGCACGTGACTCTTCGCCGATCTGGTTCCGCAGTGGTGCACGTTACTTATCGCAGACGTGCTGTTCGACAGTGGCGAGCGGCGATACAGCGCCGACGCATCGAGGCTAAACTAGGCTAAACCGTCAATTCGGCACAGAATCAGCGCCGCGTCGGCGTCTTTTTCAGCGCCCATTCGGCGCTTCGCTGAATGTCTGAACATGCTTTTACACATCAAAGTCGGCGACCTTCGCAAAACAACATTGGTTTACAGTTTTTTTTTTCCTGTTGATTCCGGTTATTTTGAGGTCTTTAGATATATCCACCTTCTTCACACACACTCCCTGGAGCCGAGTGCATTTGTACTCCGTGTGGCAGACTTTCATTCCCTGCCTAACAAACTTCTTGCAGAGCAACGCGCCCAAGCCTCAACAGCGGCTCGCAGCTTATCAGTGACTGTGACATGGCATTCTCGGAGCTTGCCATTTCTAACAGGTGATAACCACGGGATGCCAGACCCGACCACATATCCTATAAGGTCGTATGATGTTTCAGAAAGACGCTGGCACCTGATCAGGCATCGGTCAATCACGGCCTCACATGAATCACATGGGTGATTGACCAGCACCTGGTTGGGTTCCGCCAGGTTTTTGACGCGTTGGATGACCTGTCGGATATTTGATCATGAAAGTTTACGGTCCGATCCGACCAGAAGTGGCTATTACCTCCTTGGGGCCCTAAGAAAACCATGCAAGGAGGCCATTTCGCGGTCACTGATGGGCTAGAAAGCTGGAAGCCGCCGTTCAGGAGTGGAAGACGGCACGAAACGCTTTGCAGGCATCGCCTGGTACTGCTGGGCAATTCTCTACGACAGCACGCAGAGGCTGCTCCGGATCTCCACCGAAGCAAGCACGCAGGCACACGCAAATTCACACACGCGCACACGCGATAGCACGCACATACACAAGTGCACTTACAAATTCACACAAGCTCGAACTCTCGCCTATTCACAGACATGCGCATACACATACCCATTTAAAACACACTCAAACTCACTTACATACACATGCATTTACGCACACACACACTCACCAGCACACATGCACACTCACACTCCATCACACTCACACCCACACTCTCACAACAACGCACTCATACACACACTTCCTTTAACAGACAGCATAAACAGAATAACACTCTTTCTCATATTCTCTCTTTCTCACACACGGAACGGCCCTCATTTGATTGCGTGTTTGTGATTCAATTTAGTCAATCAGACTGAACTTGAAATAATAGTTTCATGACATTCCGGGCTTCTAGAACTTCTTCAAAGGCCTTTGCGAGCGTTTTTCACTCGGTCTGCTCAAAAGTAGGTATGCGTATGGCCGATGAGCTTTTCTCTCTAACCACTACACAAAACGGTACCAGTAAAGCAAAAATTAAAATGTTGCTAATGCTGTAACGAAATAAAAGATAATAAGAGTATGTGTCTGCACGCGTTTAGGCGTTCAGACACATTCTGTTCTGAACGCCTAATCATTGTGTTCTGGCATATATTGTTAGTAAATTTCAGTTGGAAATCAGCAAAAAAGTATTAAGGTCGTATTTAGCGCTGGGAACAGTATTTAAGGTGTGCGAGTGTATGGGCTATCACAACTTTGGCTACACTGCCACGTAAAATTGTCTCCGAGTTTTTTTGTTTTCTTTTTGCAAATAAATACAAATATTTTTAAAGTATCTGTGGTGAAGCACTCAAGGCTTCACGAGTGAAAGTGTGGAACACAACACGTAATTGTGAACACTTGTATTATACTTACTTAACGAAATAAACAAATTAAAATGTCACATTAATTATCAAAATCTGCGATCGTTGCGTGATGATAAGCAGAAGTTTGGAAATGGATTTCTAATCTTGCATAAAGTTTCTACAATTCCCATTCACGTATTCTAGTGCCGGTAATAAACTAAGAAAGTTAGTTGATTAAGCGGCACATATACAAGACCCCAGTCCACGCTGTGACGAAGTACAACCTTTAAATCAGTCCACCACTAAGAATGTATTCAAACGTAATCAAAGCTCTAAATTTTAAAAGAGTATTACTCTATTTAGAGAAACAAATATTGTTAATCAATAAAGCTGTCAACGTAAGTCGAGCAGCAGGAGCGGCGTTATTGAGTAATGTTTTGGGAATAGACTCTCGGAAACCGCGGTTGGTCGCCGTCACAATGCTTAATATAAAAAGTTTATCTTTCATGTGCAATTAAAAATAATGAAGAAAACAAAATTGACAGCTGGCACAATTTCAAGTGCGTCTGAGTAGTTAGTTCCTATACAAACGCCGAATGTTTCCAGAATCTAAGGATGCACTACTTAAAGTAAATATTCTCAAACAAGCAATTTCGTAATGAAAGGTCGTACCTTGTAAACGTCGAATTCCTCAATCACAGAGTCGAAGCAGGTGTACAAATCGTTCAGCAGGTTCACTACCTGAAACGAAAGCATAATGATTATTCCGATACGCTTGACTCATTTCTGTGACATCGCGTCAAAAAAGCGTTCTCTGAAAGTACGGTAAACACCACACAATGTAGTTCAGGTCTTCAATGCACTTGTGATACTGCGAAAGTTAAAAATGTTCCACAGACTTCCATCGAAGCACCAGAATTTTTAAGGGAATCATCTTTTTCAAGGCCTGCGAATCTCTTCAGCAAAGGTGATTACGTTTTTTTTTGTTTTTTTTTTCAAGAGCACGCGCTTTTTTTTGTACCTTTTTTGTTTGTGTGTAACATGGCGTAGCCTGGTGGCGTATACAAAAGGTACATTGAAATGTGACCCATTGACGCTTTTTGGCTTGGCGTGGAGTGCAAGGATTCTACAAAAAGCCCGTGCCCAGTGTTTGTCTGAACATCGATTGACCGCGCTCTCAAAGTCAGTACTGTGTTCATGAAACGTCCCAGTGCTCAGCAATAGCATTGTGCTCAAGGTCACTATTACGCACGTGGTTTTCTGCTGGCAAATACCTTCTCGGTTTCTCCCCATACATCGGCGAAACAAAGAACCTCCGAGAACGAACACGCTCCTTGGGTATGCGCCAACACCCCAAGGACGACAAGAATGACGACGTAGTCGCTCCTAATTAAGACACCAAGTTGGCCGCGAAGCGTCGGTTTTCGCAGATTAGGGCGTGGTTGGTCGCCTCTCTTTGGTTTAATATATTGAACAATGTTTCACTGTCGACTCCTCAGATTGAGTTTAAAGCATAAGTGCATGGTCTCACATTCGGGAACTTAAAACGCATTTCTTTTCCCCGGAAGTAGAGGCGGGTTGGCGGTCAGACTGAAATATGGTGCGCGAGTGTTTCGGACAGATTCAGAAGCGTCACGAGCGAGTGAGTATATTTCGCTTACAGAGTCGTTTAATACAGCCACTCGAGTATACAGGCAATTTTCGCATTTTTTCATTTTGATTTTCGACTACAGAAACGGAAAATTACTTCTCGCTAATCTAAAACAGGCGGGGTATAATTTAAAAATCCGATTTGTTAATAGAACGCGGAAGTTCACCGGAAAAATAAAATTTGAAGAAGAATAAAATAGAAAACAACTACCAATGGGAGTTTAATGTTATTTAATGTTGATTTCATTCAACCGGACTCGAGATTAATGGCAGGCCCTATTGCACTGTCTGCCGTTTCGAAATAATCTCGCCGCAGCACAGATTGGTAATTCCGAGATCTCCTCCAGATAGCCTCATAATTTTGTCCGTCAAAAACTATTTTGGGAATACATGTGATGACTGGACATGAATATAGCTCATAACCCTGTTTAACGGACATGCCGATGGCCTTCAGAGCATAGGTAAACTTGCCAAATCAAGCTCCCTATCCCGACTTTGGACGAATCCCCCGGCAATTCATTTTACTTCAATTAGTTAATTTTTTATACACTTAATGGCGCAATATAATTTTTAAAGGGACACTGAAATTAATCAATTGAACACGTATTTTTTCTTAATAAAAAAATTGCGCAATGTTTACGCCGCTATACTCGGCAACCACCTCTCTTGGCAATGCAGTGGAGGGTACAGGCACGCGTTCCCTATCCCATTTTGGGTGCTGGATAAGGCTGTGCGCGGGCTCTTTTCAACTTCCACTGCATTGCCAAGAAACGTTGTCGCTTAGCATAGGCGTAATTTAGGTGAAGTTCACCAATCGCTCTATGCCTCGCCCACAAAACGGTGGCCCCGCTCATTACTACTGGATTGGCTTAACTGCTCGGCTGAATACGTTCATAAGCCCAATGTCTCCCTGTCTCCAACGTCCGGTACGTCTAGTTTGCCGTATGACACCATCTGACACCGTTTGGTAGTTGCGCGGGCAGGGGCGAGGCAGCGCACGGCGTCGTCTGCTAAGAACAGGCTCTGCTACCACCAGTGGAACGCACGCGGCCGTGCAAGCTGCGCGTCGGCGTCCACCGTTGCTTGCACCCGTTTGCTATTCCGCCCCCAGCAAAATACGCCTGCCTCTAACGCGAGATACGACCATAAAACGGCGTTCTAGCGTTCCATCATGCACGATTCACGGTCTTGTACAAGAGTGTGTCAGCGTGTTTCAAAAGCGAAAAACAAAATTCAACAAAATAAACATCCGGTTTTCCCAGCTTTTCTTTTTTTTCTTGCATAGCTTCCGCGAGCAAGGTGGGCGAGCATCATGACGAACAAGTAAAACGCGACTGAAAAATATTTGCTTGAGCAAGCCAGGTGTGTACTGCTCGAAACAGTACAGCTAAGGGCCTTCCGAAGCGAAATGACGGACCAAACCTGATGCGAGGCGAACACCCGATTGCTTCCAAGTAAATGGTTTGCAAGTTCGTACCCGTGTTCGCTACCACTCAGTACCGAAACCATGGTCGCAATAACGATGGTTGCACGACTTTCAGTGCAGCGGGGCCTCTTTTACGGGAACTGACTCTTTTATTCAGCATCAAAAGCGCTGTGCGGAGAAGAGGCGCAAGAAATGACGCCAAGTCTCGGCGCGAGAGCTCAACTTCAAAATGTATTTTTCTCTTAAGAACAAAATTATTTTAATTAAAATTTCGAGAACAAAAGACAATAAACTCTCATGTAAAACTCACCATGTTTCGTATTTTTCTTTCGGCCACCTCAAAGCAGAAGTGACGGCTCTTTGAACGGCCAAAAACAAGTTTGCACAAATTTCGTGTTTTTTTTTTTTTCAAGACATTCAGTTGTACAGTCTGAAACATATTTCTTTGTGTACAGTATACCTGCAGGCTGTCAATGAGAATTTTTACAGTGCAGCAAAGAGATAGTTTGTAACAAAACTAAAATATGCTAAAATGCTCATATGTTCCCTTTTTTAATTGCTTTCAACATATTAAATACCATGATCCTCATTGTGTAGCAATCTAAATACCGTATGGTTTTTAGGCAAAAATATTTCAGTGTTCCGTAACAAAAATCTTACTTGTCTTCAATTATTAAATGAGTCCTAGTTTTACTCCCTTTTTACGAGTTCAAACCGCCATCAGCCCATTAAATTTGTTTTTCGTCAAACATATTTTGGAGAGGCACCACAAACATTACGGTGAAGAGCCATTTATTTTATTTTAGGAATCGGAGGAGGTCGTGGGATTCTTGGCATGGCATGGAGAAGTCCACGTCGCCTGATGCTTCCCGTCGTTTAGGCATCGCGTTTCACGCAGCCCTCGGGTACGAAGGGCACAGCGGGCCAGCTATTGCTACGCGCTGGCGGCACCTCTGATTATTACACGATATTCGCCGTTTCTTCCCTTGCAGTCGGAAAGACGGACAAGGGGAAGCGGCAGCAAACTCCGTTCTTTCTTTGGGTCTAATCGTGTCAGCTATCATCGCAGGTGGCGTGGTGTGCGGCGAAGAGGCGTTAAGAAGCGACGCCGGGTTGTGGTGCAAGAGTTCAAATTGAGAAATTGTTTTCTCGCTTTAAACAAAAATTACTTTTATCAGACTTTCAGAACAAAATACAATCGATTGTTCTTCCAAACCCACCATATTTTGTATTTTTACTTGAACCACCTCAGGGTGAAATAAACTGCTGTTTATGCGTCAAAATGCACTTTTTGGCAACTTCAAGATTTTTTTTTACTGCCAGATAATTAATTGAGCAGTTTTAAATTTTTTTTTTATAAATTATATACCTGCAGGGAAGCCGGCAAAAGGTTCTATCAAGTCACAGGAGCAAACAAATATTGTTATATTAAAACAAGAAAAATGTTAAAATTTTCACAAAAAAGTGTGGTTAAAAGTTTTTTTATTAAACAAAACTGTAAAAGCCCAAACACATGGTAAGTCAAAAGCCATGCAAATTTAAGAAAAATATAGTGTTGGGTGTTTTGTAAAAAAGCGGATTTTTCATCAATTATTGAGTGATGCCTAGTTTCAGGCTATTTTTAAAAGTTGAAACCACGGTCACGTCATCAAAGCATTTTTTTTCGTCAAAACTAGTTCAGGGCATAGCTACAAACATTGTGGCAAAAAAACATGAATTTTTTTTTTTTTTTTTTAGAAATTGGAGGTGGTCGAGCTCAACGTCTGGGACGTTTGACATGGAATGAGCCATTAACACGATAATTATATACAAACAAAACTAATACTTTAATAGAAGTGACAGATGGTATTGGTTGATTAATCAGGCCTTGTAAATGGTCTTGAAACAGATTTATTAGTGGAATTACGAATAAATTTGACTATTATTTGATTCAAACTCACATACCAGAAACTGTGCAGAAACAGTACCTCACAAGAGGAAATACTTTTTTTGTTTGTATTATATGTACAGGTAAACCAAAAGTAGATTTATTTAAAAAAGAATTAATAGTACGTGAAACGCGCTTACAAATAAAGAAGGAAAAAGTGCGTCAAATCTAATACAATAAAAATATTTTAGATTTATAGGGAAACTTACTTCAAAATGAAAATGTTTTTTTGTTTTTTGTTTGTTTTTTTTTGTTACCAAGGTGACGAAATTAGAGCAAGGCATGTTACAGCGAGCTCCCCGCTCTAGAAATAAGACGTTGCTGCGAAGAATTCCCGTTTCGACGTTTCAGATTACGACGGACGAAAAACATTAGGCGACCGGCTGACTCCAAACTGATGTAAATATGTCATCTATTTTGTCTTACTTTTTGTCTCGCGAGTGAGCGTGACTTGCCCGGTGTTATTTCTGTCACCCGGGAAACGCCGTCGTCGTTTCTCGGTGGGCGTGTACGCCGTTTGCTACATTGGAAGTAACAACATGACCGTAATCTAGTATCTTTAATAGTCCTAAATGGCTCCGATACTATACTTCGTTTCACTTTGAAAGGGCCGTGCATCGATACTGGGTAGGAATGTTTCTCCACTAGTGGAACACAAGAATACTCGAAACCTTCTCTGACCAAGAAGCGTCTTCCTCGAGGTGGAATTCCAAGGATGAAAGCGGACAATTATTTTTA